GCAGATTTCAGATTGTTGTGGGGGCACAGGCCCTAAAGAGTCCCACTGTGGAGTCTGAAAATAACTCTTAAGAGTTCCATAAGGCCTCCTATTTGGGGAAAAGAATATCCCTTAGGAGGCCTGCTGACTGAGGCCTACTGATCACTCAGTATAGATAATTTTATTTATAGTAATTGATTATATTTTTTCTTCTTGGTGTGTGTGTGCATGTGTGTTATTCAGGATAAGCTTAAGATTGTGCTTGGGAATTCCTCACGGTGTCTTTTAGGACTTTAACAATTTTATTTTTATATTGAGTGTTTCATCCAAATTAAATCTATTTTGGTTAACAAATGAAGTATTAGTTCTTTCCTTTTCTTTCCTTCTTTCTTTATCCACAAGTGAACTAGTTGTCTTACATTATTTTTATAATAATCTTTCTTTTTCAGAGTGACACTTTTATTCTGTACTTAACTCTTACAGGCCTTTATGTCTATTTTGGGCTCTATTCAGTGACACACCTCACTGTTTGAACATCACTGGGTTGGAGGTCTCTAATGTGATATTCAGTGCTACAAATCCATAAATTTATGACCACTTATTCAATCTCTTTTCACCCTAAACACTCATTTTTCTCTCTTTTTTTTCTATCTATGTTCATGATTTTATTTCAGATTTGATAATTGTTCTCAGGCTTAGTCATGTAAAAATCACAATTTTAAAAGTATTGACTTTCATAGCATATAGTCAATGTTCCTTGTGCTCGTCCAAAACAGAACACAAAATAAAATACCTGGCCATACTTGCCAAAAAAGATAATCCTGCTGAGAAAAATTATGACTTTGGAAAGTGATATAGAACTTTGGGAAAATAATTTTCCCTGCAAGTCACTGCTAAATTTACCGTGTCTCTTAAATGTTGAACATAACTAGGAGGCTACAGAGATAAATACAACCACCTGTATTTCTATACTTTTAGCAACATATTTTACCCATTGCAAGCCTGTCTTTCTTTAAAAATTATGAGACATAAACTGATGACTGTCAAAAAAAAAAAAAAAGTAATATTTTAATTCCCAAAAGAAAAGAATGATTCTCTTGCAAGAAAGACTGAACTATCGAAATCTTTTAGTCCATGAATAAAATAGACAGGTTTATGGTGAACCTTTTAAAAGCCCTAAGGAACAAGAGATAGAGAAAATAGATACGAATTTACTAAATCCAAATTAGACAGTATGTCCTACAACTGAAAAGTGTTAGTTTGCCTGCAAAGAGGAAGCCTCAATATAATTTCCCCCCGAATGAATGAATGAATGAATGAATGAATTTGAGATGGAAACAATGCAGGTGTCCTTCACAGGTAAACGGGTGAACAAACCAAACTATGATACATCCATAACATGGAACACTATCCAGCAACGAAAATGAACAGCTATTGATTCACCGAACAGCTTGCATAACCTTCCTTAGGGGAATGATGCTACATGTAAAAAGCGATTTACCAAAGGTTACATACTGTAAGATTCCATTTGTAGAACATACTTGAAATAAAATTACAGAAATGGGGAACAGAGTAGTGAAAGCCAGGGGTTATGAATGATGAGCGGGAGGGAGGAGGTGGGGCTACAAGGGGGAGCCTTATGGAGAAGGACAGTTCTGTATCTTAATTGTGATGGTGGTTACAAATATCTACAGCACACGTGATAATATTGCATAGAACTACACACACACACTGGTGCATATAAAACTGGTAAAATCTGAACAAGATCTGTGGTTTATACTAATGTCAGCTTCTGAATTTTGATATGTACTCTAAGATGTGACCATTGGGGCAAATGGACGAAGGGTATTTTGGACTTTGCTATATACTATTTTTCAACTTTCTGTGCATCTATAGTTATTTTAAAATAAAATGTAAAATGAGGCTAGTTGTAGATTGGAGGAACGTACCTTTACTTGAATACCATTCACCTTCATCCCATTTAATATTTGTGACCATTTTATCTAGTACCACACAATACACAGATGAGGTCAAAGGGATCAAAAGATGTAGAGAAATAGATATGGTAAATTAGATTTAGTCGTGAGGCCAGAAAACCTAATCAATTGCTGCTGTTCCCTAGGGGGCTTCTGAGGGGTACAGTATATACTCCCCTGAGGTAATAAGGTAATAAGGAACGAACAAGTATTGGAGGCCAGCAGCATCATCCAGCAATACAGTAGTGTCTATTCTCTAAATTCGGAGGTTGTGGTAGAAAATATTGTTACAGAATTGAGCTCCTAGGGGTCATGGGGATGATAATATCCCTAAATAGCAGTGACCAAGTGGCAGCATTTAACTGCGAGAAGTAAAGTGAGTATAATTATGTGATGGGTAGCAAGTTTGGAATGATAACTGGGGCAGTGTGACATGTGACCCACACACATCTATTGGTGTGGACAATAGAGCATGGTATCCCTCAGAATAAGATATAGGAGGCTAACAAGGACAGGTGTGTGTGTGCGCGCGCGCACGCACGCGTGTGTGTGTTTGTGTGTGTATGTGTGTGTGTATGTGTGTGTTTAACAGAGCTTAAGAATAAAAGAGCTAAAGGCTGAGGTGAGTGATCCCAATGGAAAGTGATGATTTCTTACCAAGTTTCCAGACCTGAGCCAGTTCCAGACCTAGAACCCACTGATTCACTGAAGGAGAGGCCAGTTCTCCAGGATAAAGGACCACAGATTTGTATACGGTGACAATCTCTCCAGTCCTTTCCCAAAGGTATCTGCAGCCATGTCCACAGGGGAAAGTGAAACACCACTGTATTTGGATGCTGTTGGATAGCGTATCTAAGTTGACACTGGCAGTTGGATACCCAAAATGCCAACACGGCCTCTCATTAGAGTACATTAATCCAGTAACCCAGGGTTGAAGAAGGACTTGATTCATATATGGAATTTATTGCTTTTCTTTCCCATGATAGTGTGCTCTGTGCATCTAGATGTCTTAGCTGTGACAGAGAAGAGTTACCTCCAAGGAGACATAGTAAAGTCTGATTGGAACTAAAACTGTCACCTGATCACTTTGGGCTTCTCGTGCCAGGTGATCAGCAGGCAAAGAAAAGAGCGATGTTGAAAAGCAGGAGTATATTTAGCATCTAAGTGATACCTGGGGTGCATTCTTGGTATTTCTGTTTCCAGTTTTAACTGACTTGGTGCAAGTATAACAGCTGTAGCCTTATGAAGACATAGTAACCAGGGGCTCAGAAATCTCAAGGGACGAGGATCACGATACCCCCGCCAGGAAAATCACCTATACCAGCAGGGGTGCTGTCCACTAACCCTCGTCTTTTAAGTTTCTCTAGAAATTGTGACCAACCAATTGGAGTGAGCTTAATGAGAGAAATATGTGGACCTCAGTGGTGCCCGAGGTAGACTATATGATATCCTATTCAGATCCCTCTGCCATTAAGGCCCCCATCCCTAAGTTAGTGTGAGTATGGACTGCTGGTGGCTCAAACAGCTCACTCGCATGTTATCTGCTCGTTATTTTAACCCTAAAGGAGCTACCACACCTGGAAGAGGTTTCTGCCTTCTCTGCCCCTTGTCCCCAACAATGATGTCCAAAGCTAGTAATTACTAATGTAGGAGTCCAGATGCCCCACCCACTTGCCTCCAGGAGGGCACAGGTCTGTGGTACCATTCACACCCTCATCTGCTCAGGTGAGCATAGAATTCCACTGCAAA